CTAACTCAAATCCCAGAATCAAAACTCTTTTTTTACTTTTCCACAGTCTACCAAAATAATAGATCTCCATCAACATCGCCACATATATCTGTTGATGCTAATCAAAAGGAAGCTTAATAATGGTGCTCACATTTATAGGAACGAGTGGTAGAACATTTAGATCCATGAGGTCGACAGTTAGTCAACCAGACCCATCAACCGACCAGTCAATTATCTTGGCCAGCTAGTGGCTGGCGGTGGTATCGTGAATCCAGTCAAGGTAGGAGGTCACCCGGGTGTAGATGCCAGGATATCCGGAGGCGCACTTTATGCCGAAGGAGATGACACCTACCACTATGTACTGATCATCCACCCCCGATCGGCACATCATTGGCCCGCCAGAGTCGTACTGCAACCCATGTGTGAAAGCAAAGACATCCATTACGTATAAGTTAAACAAATTGTATAGTTATTTTTAAATTCGGGGAAAGTATCTCTTTAAGTTTCTCACATGATTTCCTACGTACATCGGCATCACTACTTTGCGTTTAGAGTATTTTGTTAATCCTTCTTAAAGTGGTTTCCGTGACATCTATGGAGAGGAGTAAAAAACATATATCTGAGAAAATAGATTTCAGTTAAAAGTATGCTAACAGGTGAAATATCAAGGGAAGTGATCCACTTTGAGAGGGCTGATATCACAATTATAACGTGTAAAGTAATTGCAAGAGTTGTACACGTTTAGATCATCTGAAAGTAACCGGTCATGCGGAATAGACTGGTGCATAAAAACGAATCACTCATTTAAAAGCATAAAGTATCTTGTTGCCACTACATGAAAAATTAAACTAGCTTACACAGCATACTCATTCTCAAAATTTAATATCAATTATTCGAGATAAAATAAATTAAGACAATGTAAGAGAATTTATTGCAAAGGCTGATGGTATTCAACTTACCTATTATTTACTTTAAACCTTACCGTAAATTAAAGTTTTGGGAACTGGCAAATATAGCGACAGATACGGCTGCCGTAATGCGTTAACTGTTGGTTTATTTCACGATTTTTGTGAGATGCTACTAAGAGCTTTACCATTGTGCCTCAGCGGGACAGCCGGTCTATGTTCTACGGAAAAGCTATTAACGTCCAAAGCGGCACTGGCCATGAAACCTCTGGAGGAGTTCGTTGCGCAGCTGTCCACCATACCTGCATAATTACATCAATCGGCCAAACATGCGATACCTCCTCTACTTCTCTAACTGCTGGATGGAACCCAAATAGATATTCCTGGACAGCACTGAAGTAAGAACCAGTTGTCCAGGAGGAATAAACTCGAAACCCTAACCCCTAAGAACCATGTTAATCCCTGTCTTTTGTTATTATCACTCTGCTTTTAGGCCAGTGTTTCTACCACTGGCGGTGGACATGTGTGATGGCCAGCCGAGTCTCCTTCCCTCAATGCAGTTCCCATACAGAAAAAAATCCAGATCCTATAGCAGTACCAAGAGGGATCAGTGACGCTGGGGTCAAGTACCTTCTCAGTCGCATGGGAACTCGATGACCGACACGGCTTGCTCGTGGTTGTTTTTCTTACATCGCTAATTACGCTGTGATAACTGACGTGAGAGGTTGACCAAGAGGAGCGCCGAAGACGGCGTTGGAAAGAAGGGGATGGCTACGTACCAAGTTAATTGCTTGGTTTAACCCCCGGTATTGATTAAGGGGCCACTTAAGGGCTCCCCTACTGTAAATCCGACGGGAGGCCTGGCCTTCGGGCTATACCAGTAGCCCCAATCTTTTCTGCACGTTGATAATGCATATTCGGTCCACGCATTGCAACTTCCTTCGTCTTTAGAGTAAGCAAGGGATTTTACATCTATAATAGGTTGTAATTTAATGGGGATTTCCCTACGAAGGGTAAAATCTTGACCCAACAGTCCGATTTTATAAGAATGAAATTTAGAAATTAGCAATTTCTACCATCCATGCCTAATGGAAGATGAATGGAGGAATAATTGCATCCACAAGAAGTAAATTACTCGAAAACAACTTTTATTCATTTATTTTTTTATAAAATTAAAAAGTTATTTGTAGCAACCAATTTTCGGCAAACGTTAATCCGAAACCAGTTCTACTAAATTAATCGACGAATTATGATGCGTGTGACAAAGAAGAGAGTGGAAGTAAAAAATGTCAGGAAATATTGTAATAACAGTTTAAGTGAAGTCTTGAACTTCCCAACTGCGTACTGCCAACAAAAATTTTACCTTTTTTACAAATAATTTATTACCTTTTACTTTGAAAATCATATGCATAGGACGTCAAGTAGTGCAATTGTCTGGCTCTGCTGACTATTAAAAGTACGGGTCGTGTTACACAATTTAATGGAAATAATAAAAAAACCTCCGATGTTTATGATTTTTCCTCAATCATTTTTAAGATATCTGATTTGAGCAAATAACAAGTAAGACATCCACTTCTAGGTAACCTGAGCATATATACATACAAATATTAGGGAAGATTAGTTTAACTGTATAAAATACCTGGCAAGCATCCGTAGACTCCGAGTTGCCGGCACAGATGAATGAGGAGTGAATATGGAAGTTTGGGTTCCAGAGCATTAATGGTGTGAAGATGTCTTTGCAGTCATCGAGAGATATGAGGGGAACGTTAATATGCCGCAGTAGCGGTGACACTTCGGCTCCTGTTTTAATCGCAAAAAAAGAGTTAAAGTTAGAAAAAGTCGACTTATGATCCAATTTATCAAATGAATTACTTGCAACAAAATCGCAGATCAACAATGTTACTACCCGCACCAAATTGTGACCTCCTATTGTTGCTTTAAAGGATGGTGGGGGCTTCACTTCCTCAGAGTATCTTGATCCCAGTCCGTTCAAAATAATAAGCACCAGTTCGGTAATGAAAGCAGCAAAAAGTGTGAGGTAATCACAAACACTTTGTTAGTGCATGGATGGCGATGATTTAGCTTTCTGTCCACGTTATATCCCTCATCCACCATTCATAGTATAATTATTACTTTAGTGGATTTTTCATTCACTAACTACGAGAACTTCAAGAGAGAGGAGGGAAGTTGTGGACATATTCCATAAATCAACTAATATGTTGTGAGCGGCGTGTCTGTATCAAGTGACTATAATGTACATATTTTTACAAACAGGCGCCATTATCTTAGTGTGCTGGATTGTCTGTATATTTTTACCGTCAGAAAATTTTAACAAATGCTTAAATTTAGATGTTTGTTTGAATAGGGTAATCATTTGAACTCATGAACAAATTGTTACACGACAATGGCATACTAAAGCACATTAAGTTTGGCTAATAAATGCGATTTGTGGCATATTATTGAAATGAATGACTTTAGAATAACCGAATACTAATTCAGTGTATTGCATTACTGCAATGCTTTTAATGTTGGTTTAAATGTACAAATCACAATACGAGCTCTTCAATCACCGTGGTTTCAATTTTCTGATTAGTGCCACAGCGTCATATCCATGATTATGAGATTAATGTCCATAGCCATATCATGGCTATCTGCACCTCAGTGATAGTTTTCCTTCATTGCAAAACTGGCTTATTAAGACTTTAGGAAAGGCTCAGACACTACATCATCGAGTTATCAAATAACTTGTTGAAAACAATGCCGCACATTCCAGTATTTAAATGGGAAAAGCCACAAATCACTGACTTATTGAGATAAAGCAGCACTTGCGCTTTCTTATTCTTCGTCGTACTTTTATGGTGCATTTTGGCATATCGATAGGATGTTCCAAATATGAATTAAATCCTCTCCAACCTGATTATTTAAACCGAAACAAAACACGGGATTGCTGAGGTTTCATGAAGGTTCCTGCATCTATTTTTTAGTACTTGTAGTATGCCTTATAAAGACTGGAATTTTTGTCTGCAATATTCGGCATCACTTTTTAGAAGTGTAGCAAACATCAAGTTGGATTTTGCTACTTGAACAGCTAATCATTCAAACGCATACATTTAGGTGATTTATTCTTTTTAAGCCCTCATTTGGCTTATCTTACTAGTCTTCTTTTCCCCTATTTTTTTTCGGAAATAAAGTTAATGACAAACCCTCCTCAGTGACTCCCCAACCGGCAACTGTGCAGACCGTTCCTGCCTTGAACTGCTCGCCTGGGTATGGCAGACAGGCTGGTTGCACATTCGCGTTAAATGAGACCGGACGCCTCAGTTTTAACAGAGCAATGTCGTCCAAAACGCCGTACTGATTGTCATAGTTATCTAAAGAGTTGAAAATCGTAGGGTAACAACTTTACATAAGTGTCTTAAGTAATTTCATCATAGGCTTTACAAGTTCTTAGTGAAGCTTTCTGTTTTAATCTAAAACCATTGAAATGAGCACTCAGTGACTTATTTCAAACCAAGGATCGTTTTGATTCTAACATGACAAAAAATAATAAGATTAAATTGTCACAGTCAGTAAATTTAAGATTCCAAAGGTTGTGCATGACTTTCAGGATATTTAATGGCTTTTTAGTATCCAGGATACACTTTAACACTATTAAAAAGCATCAGAGTGAGGAATGCTGCCTATGCAAACGCTATGGAATTTGAGGACCACTTGGAAGAGCGACGATTTTTCTTCAGCAACTTAACAATAAAATACTTCCCCTACTTTCCTGATGGCTTAGAGTGGACATTGATTTCCATCCACATTCTACACCTCATGAAGCCGCAGTGGGTAAAGGAGCAAATAAAAACTGGAAGCACTCCTACTATTAGCAGTGGATTGTCCTTCTGTTCCATACCCCCATGCTTTATCCGGTCAATGCAATTACAGCCTTTTAAAGGAGTTACTCACTCATTTATTTTAAATAACGAATTTTTACTCGTCTTGCATTTTTTTGAGTTTAGTTAGTCATTCAAATTAATTTTGCCTCTGATCAGATATGAATTGAAAGCAGAGCCTCAATGGGGTTCCTAGTGATCACTTAAAGGCTCACATTTTCACTCGCTTATTTCTAATCTACAGTATCTAAAATAAGCAAAAAGCAATCATAAACTTTACTGAAAAGTAATTTTGAGGACCAATAAATCTCACTAAAAAGGCACTTCTCGTATACCTACCATCTCGTAAATGGGGGACATTTTCTGCCTGGATTTTAACCTTTTTTAAACACTTAGAACCACGGTATTTCCATATACCACTGTTTCTATTAATCCGTAATTTACTGCGTGCAAGTACTAATGCGAAGAAAATTATTTTGCATGCAAAAAAGCTACAACAATAAATTTATGTGAGATATTCAGACATTCTCTTGCCAAAGAGAAGCTCATAAACACCGAGTCATAAGCAATAAAGACAGAAGGCGGACCAGTTTATCACGCCCTACTGACAAGTCAATTGCTTTAAGTGGCAAAGCATGGGGAAGTGTTACCCACTATGGGTATGGTTACCAAAACTTGGTCATAACTTTCACTAAAGTGGAAAGGGCTCTGCCATGTAGTTTGCGAGAGTGATAAGTGTGACAGAGTCAAAAATTTCCCTTCATGGTGGCTGAAGCTACTTCGTGGTACTCATTCCGGAGTTAAAGAGACTGCAGGGGGAGATGATTTTGCTGTCCACTTTTTTCTGTTTGTCTTAAGGACTGTGGAATGTATATCAAGTTTATATCCAGGGCTAGGGCAGATAGAATGTTTAAGCGTAAAAAGCCTTTCTAAATGATGAGGAACATTTCACTAAGTCAAATAAAAAGCGATTTATAATTTTGAAATTCTCTTTAAAACAGAATTCTAATTGTCGGCGAATCCATAAATTTAATGTGTTAAAGTAAGCATGGTTATTCTTCTCCGTTGGAAACGTACTTTAGTTTGCATATTTGTAGAGAAAGAGTAAAAAAAGGCAGAAAACATTGCTGTTAAATTATTTAGTGTTACCCCTTCCATCCACCAGTTTTACGCAAAGGATGAAGCAAGACTATACTAACGCCAACAAAATATATAAATAAGATAGCGAAATTTTCATCATGCCATTTATAAGGAAAAATGAGATAATTAAAAGTATTTTTAAAATGTTTTTTTTTGAAATCGGTCACCAATCCGTAAGGTTTTGAGTTTTTATCAGGGCTATGATATGCAGCACTATGAACAAAGGCTTTTGGGAGTTGAATATATTTCTTAATGATTTGAAATGGCAAGTCTTAATTTCAGTACCGTAAATATTTTTTTGCACTCGCTAAATACAATCATAACAGAAATAGTCTTATTTAATGCGTATGAGTTTAGGACACAAGTTCTACAAATTTTTATTACAATTATTGCTTCGCACACACCAAGGTATCATAGAATAAGCAACTTAGGCATTTTTTGTTTTTTGAGTGTGCCATTTAGAAAGAGTGTCATCGTTTAAATGTTAGTAAGAATACCAACAGCTTTGGTTCGCCCGGTATATTAAATGAGTTTGGGTACTAAATGGCAGGGTTGCAAAAATTGATATTTTTCAGCTTACTCTCAGTAGAAGGGTAAATGAATATTTTTTCCACCTCATGATCCACCTGGAATTCTTCCGGTTTGTGAAGGTTGTATTCTCCAACTCTCACCGTTAATCGCGAAGGGTCATGTGTCAGAGAGGGATCAAGCTGCGAACTAAGAGGTTTAGGAAGCTTTAGCATTTCAGCTGTCACACGAAGAAAAGGGCATTACTCAGACACTATGAATGCATTTATGGAGTTAAATGGCTTACTCAAAACAGTGCTTTGCGGTGAGAATCCAGGATGCGCTAATGAGCGAGCCACCGCAGATGTGGCCGACAAGCTTTTCGTGACTGGTTCGTGAAGGCCCATTGGTCGCGACACTTTCCTCCGTAAATGATATTTCGCCTAGTTTCCGCAGTATTTCACGCATCTCCGAATCCCCCGCCAGACGCGCCAAGAGAGCTCGCAAATTCTGCTCTTTTACTCTCTTGATGACACTTTTCGGCTCTAATGACTGCAATGTTTTCAAACGAAATGATTCGGTGTGTATTATAGGCTATTTTGAAGAGTCGATTTCTTGGACACCTCTTATTAAATGCTAGAAAATGTAAAAGCAACTCATGCAAGAAATTAATATGCAATACTATTACTAAATATGGGTATTAATAGCACTTTTGGATTGTAAACAGCTGTAAATGTATTGTAAACACATTCATTTCCTAAATCAACAACGACTAAATCACATAATGGTTAGAGGAATCATTAAAAAAGGGAAAAATATAGGAATAAAAGCCTGTAAGTCGTTTTTGTGTAATGGGTTAGGAGAAAACAAGTTTTAAGGAGCATTAAATAGCTGCAGAACTTTATCAGCATCATATTTTATAATTTAGTTGTTTCTCACGAGAATACAAACTTGCTATGAATTCCATTTGCCTCCAGTCTAGTCCTGGGTGCTTCTGATTCTGTCTTACTTTTATTCCCCAATTATCTACTCCACCAGTGATCATTTGATTTTTTGATCATTTGATTTAAAAGGATATTCACCATTACTAAGAGAAGTACGGATCTTGTGAGTCCTGAGGAGGTGGAAAATCACTATCCCCCATTTATCCTAAAGTGTAGCATGAAGCCTTCCTATAGCTTATAAGTACATAAGAAAACTTTTGCCCCATAAAAGTTCTTTTATAAGATGGATTTGTGTGAAGTCATAGCTGCAAATGGTTTGCCTTCAGCAAGGGTATAATTCAGAGTGGAAAGTCTCAAATGTAGTCTGACACCCACTATATACAGTTCACTGTGGTAAAGTGATGTCTCAAAAACGTGGGATGGTTTGCGCTTTGTTGGTAGTCAGTGATGTGCCCTTTCTTGTGACACTCGTAGAACAGTAATACTACACCTCAACACAACTTATTCGGCCAGTTAACATCTTTTTCCTGACGGCGCACTTTTATAATGAAAGTGGAAAAATGGAAGAATGACTTGGTGGTCTTTAAAACGCATTGCCATCTGTGTGTGGACATAGGTGAAGATCATCCGGTTAACCTCTACATCTTTCTTAGTTGGCGTAAATGTAAATGAATGTTCTATGAAGCAGGTTGAACTGTACTGACAGTTGTTTTTGATGCAAAACATAATTTTTAACTGTAGAGAATAGAGGGTTTCCCTGAATGTAATGCGTTTTTTTGAGCTATTCGCTACTAAAGTTACATTTGTTGAGCCATTTCCCAGTGATGTGTTCTGCTGTTGCATATAATATCCTTTCCAAATGTAGTTGTCAAATTACCTATTTTCCCGAGTCAATCCTTACAAAGATTTCAGCATTCACTTTTCCGCTATTTTACGTGAAATAATGATATAGTATCGACTCCACACCACCAACCACCACATTTCTAATTTTATGAAGGATTTAAGAGGTTCCATTCCGGTATCCGGTTTTACCTCGATCACCAATCAAGCACATTGGAGGTACAGATGATGTGACGTGATAAAATCATCTGTAGTGCAATTTTTTTAACTTCACACTTTAAGTTAACGAAAGTGTATTGTGCATATGTTGCTATTCTTTTTTAAAATACTCAAGCTTAGTGGGTTATATACAGTTGAAAAGACATGTAAAACCTACATAAAAGTGATGCTCTCTTGATTCCTTTGGGTAACCGCAGACAATTAATGTTGCTTTATATTTTCTTCATTTATGGATAAAAGCCTCAGACGTTTACTGTAACTTCAAACAAGTAATTTTCCACTTTCAGGCACTAAAAAATTTTTCCATCCTCTCTCCCTTTTATGAGAAGATTTGTGATGTCATAATTGGGTTAATTAAGCATAGGAGAGTTACTTAAAAACCTCTTTTTAATGAATAAATCGGACCTCAAGGTCACAAATAGACAAAATTTTGCAAAGGAAAACCAGAATGAGTTGCAGTTGAAGTGGATTCAGCATTGGATGTTGTAAATGCTCGGTGTTAAAGTGTTATCGGATATGCTACTGAGAGTTCGACAGAAATTCGATCGTTGCATCCCAGACTTTTTTATTCGAAGAAGGCATAAAAAGTAGTATCCACTTATCACGAATGCCTTGAAACTCAACGAATTACCTGTGACGCCACTTCGCGCAATTAGGTGTCACAAACGACAAAACAGTACATGCAGCAATTGAAGGTGGTAATAAACAAGTCAAAAATTAAATGGGGATGTAAAAGTTTAACCGTGCCTTCATTGCTCCAATTTTATTCAAAATGGAGTTGCTGTAAAATTCTTAGTCTATTCGCATGGACTTCAAATAGGATAATTAATGATAGCTTGCAACTTCTTCTCCTTTTTTAAAGCAGAAAAAAAGCAGAACCAGACAAAGGGGGCAAAAAAAGGCTTCACCATTGCCAATGGTGTACTTTATTATAGTACAATGCACGCTGTTGTTGTGTTTGAAGGGAGTGGTAAAGCGGACAATGTTATCAACACCTTACGGCGAATCCGACACTTCCGTAATGCTTTTTAATGTTATGTGCATTATTTATGGGCCAATTTAATTGCCATCGGACAAACTTTTAATCAACGTTTAATGTTATTACCCTCTTATTAACATCCGTTAGGCGAATGTTTCCACCGTAGGTCGTAAATACACATTGTACAAATATGTTACTACTATAAAAACATGTAATTGCCATTAGTAATAAGTTTCGATGCTATACTTTATCTTGCATAACCATTCTTTATCCCTCAGTGTAACTCTAGATGCTACTCACTGGAATTTCTTGTCCTGTTTCTACGTTTTATGTACACTCTATACTTGCTTTTAGATGTTGTACTTTACAAAATAATGCCAGTAAGTTTGTAGCTTAGGTCTCAGTTTAAATTGCATCCCTCCTATTATCTCCCATTTCCAAGTAATGGAAACCTATGGGGGATGCTGTGCTTATGGGAAGTACTGTTAAGCAATTCAAAAATACATTCAACTAGAGGGATATAAACAACATGATTTACTATTCCTTACTAATTCAACTGATGAATTTTCCGGTTTCAATTGGATTGACACTAACCATGGCCATTCGAATTGCCTTGACTCCACTCCGCCAATAATTCTTTTGGCCAATCCACCGGAGTGATATCGACTTCGGCCGCAGTGGTCCCTTATTGCTTAAAAAATGCACACATTATACATTCTTTTTAAGCAAGTAAAAGGAAATTTAAGGTGTTTTAAATTCATCTTGTAAAAGAATCATTATTATATTTAAGTGTAGAATTAAGCTATCGGATTGATAGAGTCCTACTGCCACAACTTTCTCAGAAATTTGACTGTTTTTTGGATGTATTCGCATTGATAATGTGCAACCTTGCAAAACCATAGCAAACCCAAAATTTAACGATTCATTTCAGTAAATGTGGCTTAGCTTTCAAAGCCACTTTAATTCAAAACAGCCACCCCTTCATTTTGAAAATGAACTTAAACACGTCTCAACCTTGATGCAGTAAAATTAACATGCGTGTAACATGTATTTTCCATCAGTCCATG